GCTGGCCAGGACGCATGCGGGGAGGTGTCCGAGCCTCGGAGTTTGGGCGGGGGATTGGCCCGTGAGGTTCGGGACTCCGGGAGCTCAGACCGCGAGCGCCGCGAAGGAGACACTGCGGGCGCTTCCGTTCGCGGTTCCGGCCCGTGCGGGCCACCTCTGGCCCCGGGCATCGAGGCCTCCGCACCCTCTCGTGCAATCATGACGTCGGGGTTACGAGGAGGTGAGGAGGCGTTCCCGTGCAGGCAGTGGGGTGGCAGTGGTGGGAGGTGGGGGGTGATGTGGGGGGGAGGGGTTGGAGAGGCCTGCGCAGGTCCCCCCGGGCTGAAGAAGCCCCCGGGCCCAGTACCCGTTTCTTGCATGACCCTTTCTGGCTTGCCGCATGCCAGTGCAGAGCGCGTCTTATGCTACATGCTCATCTCCAGGCCCTCACCGCACATGAGCACCACAACCGATCTTGTGTTACCATGCCGACGCACGACGACGACGACGACGACGACGAGGGAAATGCTGCGCATGCCCGCCGGCGGTTGGCTGCGAGACAACAGTTACCTATCGCTCACGGACCAGTGAACCTGTTTCAAGAAAGGAGGAGGAGGAGGAGGAGGAGGAGGAGGAGGAGGGGGAGGAGGAGGAGAAGGGGGAGGCCGACGATACAGGAGGAGGAGGAGGAAGAGGAAGAGGAGGAGGAGGAGGAGGAGGAGGAGGAAAAGGAGGAGGGAGGAGAGGAGGAGGTGGCAGGAGGGAGGAGGAGGAGGAGTAGCAGGAGGAGCAGGAGGAGCAGGAGAAGCAGGAGGAGCAGGAGGAGGAGGAGGAGGTGGAGGAGGAGGAGGCGGAATACTGATCATAATAATGATAATTTTCATACGAAAATAAGAATACGAATCTTAATAGTATTCATAGTACGAAACATACTAATAATACGAATAAGGAGACTAAGAATAATGTGAGTTAGTACGCGTTTTCCACAGGAGGGTAGGCCTTCGGACACACGGGACCCCTGACTGGTCGCGTCCGCAGCCACCCTTTTCTGCTTGGGAGGTCCGCCCGGGCCGCTTTGAGAGACAGCACGTTCGCCTTTTTTGCAAGATAAGCTGCACTTTCTATACTCAGTTCTGCGCGACGTGATTGCGCTCAACGCCCCGGCTCGTGAGCCGACTTGCCATTGTCATTTAAGGGAGCCTCCCAGTGTGACGCTGCCACGGAGGCCGGGGGGTGCCACCACATCGAGCGGATGCTGTCCCGTCAGCTCGAGTCGGTGCAAAGGCAACTGAGTTCGACCATCACGATTCAGCTGTGTGTGAGCCTCGTGTTCAGTCTGAGCCTGCTGAGTTTCATCGTGGGGCTCTTGATCGGGAGGTACTCTGGACGGCGAATTTGTCCTGTCTCTTCTTCGACTACGGTCTCGGATCAGGTCTTTCGAGGACGCAACGGGCCTGTCATGCCTTCGTCTTTACGGCTCGCTGATAAATCATGAGCGCTCTTGACATTAAGGAGAGACAAGTCTTGGTACGATATGAAAATGACCCGAATTTCACGTGGCACCACAGAATTTTGTTGGTTCGTATCTCAGCTGGCCGGTGGGTGGTCCTCACGCCCACTCATGACTTGCAGATATTGGACACGGCAACAGTCAGGTTCGAACCGCTGGCGAGAGGCCTGCCCGTTCCAGACCGCTGTCGCCAGGACTGCTTTCTTTTCGATCCGATCCTGATGTGCGAGCTCAGCGAGGCCATCGCCAGGGCCAAGGTGCTGGCTGACATCGCAGGTGAAGACATCGAGGTGGACGCAGCTGAGGTCTGGGTCGTCAGCGACCCGTCGCACCGCCGCTTCGGTGAGCAGGTGGAACCGGGCATCCTGGATGACGCCGCGCGGGCCCTGCAACGCGAGACTAGGGGGGTGGTCCAGCTCGATGCGAACGACGCGGGCTCAGAGGTGCATGTTTCGAGGGTCAACTCCAACGACATTGCCGAGTGGAAGAGCAGGGTCGGCGGAGGAGGAGATCCTCGGTTGCTGGGCACCTTCCGCACTGCGGGCGGCAAACGCTTCCTGCAGACCAAGGATGCCGTCGGCAAGCTTGAGGAGACAAAGTTCGATGACTTCCCTTTCGACGACCCTCGTGCTGCCAAAGAGTATCTGGACGGGATCCTCGAGACCACCGACGGCTCGTTCGACGCCTACCATCGGAACTGGTGCATGGCGGCGGGGGTCTCGCCGAACAGTGGCATCGCCCACGATCGCCGCATCATCTTGGAGGCGATGCGTTTGGGTCTCACGTATGACCAGATCAACCTGGCAAACTCGGCCATGGGCGAGCAGCTCGTCAGGCGGCTCATCCAGCGCGAGCTCGCGGTGGAGAAGGACGCGAAGCACGCGGACTACAGCGGGCTCGGCTACATGCTGGCGGGATCTACTGATGATCGGGGGAGAGCTGCCGTCCCGAAGTTCACCATGTGGGTCGCCGAGAAGCAGCACCAACGGGCCTTCACGCCCAAGCAGAGTCGACTGCTACGAGAGGAGAGACAGGCCGACGAGAAGAGGCGTGGCAAGGGCCCCAAGGGGTCCAGGGGCGGCGGCAAGTCTGGCGCCGCCGACTCGAGTCAGAACAACGGGGGCTGAGGCCCCCTCGGGGCGAGGCGCTGGTGAGTACCTGGTCGTCAGCGTCGCCCGTTCTCTTCTACAGGTAGGAGCTTCCGGTCTGTTGCCTCGAGCTCCGAGTTTTATTCGCCGCGGTCGTGACGATTGTGGTAAGCGGCGTGGCGATCCCTTTCCTCTGCCTGTCCGCTTGGTCAAGGGCTCCTCCAAGGGGCCCGGGCGCCGGTGGCGAGGAGTGCGTGGACGTGCTGGACATCAAGTCCAGCGTCTTCTGGAGTCCGTCCGTTCGCTCAACTTCCTGTATCGCGCCAGAGCATGTTCAGACAAGGGCGGCCTTTACGAGGGTAGCCCGGGCAGGTTCAGTTCTTCTCATATGTCGATATTGAGTTCGCTTGATGATCGCATCAGCCTGCACGGCGATCGGCCGCCTGACCTGACCCCGCTCGACGCACTCAAGGAAGTTTGCACAGCGAAAGACCTGTACACTCAGGAGCCACAGCACATGGCGCCCTACCTTCCCGAGAAGTTGAAGGTGACGAAGGGCGCGACTTTCCCTCTGCCTTTTGAGTCTGTTCCCCCCCCCCCAGCTGTGTTGCGGCTGGCCACGGACTTCCGAAAACAAATCGTGAAGAGCGATGCCGAGCTGGAGGCGGATCGATTGGGAGGCGCGTCTGCCACTCCGTACTGGTGCCCTGACCTTCGGCGCTCAAAGAAGAGCCGACGTGAGTTGTTCGCCAACTTGTGCAAGCGCAAGCTGCTCACCTTCAGGCGCCGCATCTTTTCGAGAGTCTCGATTTTCTTCGTTTGGAAGAAGACTTGGATGACCCGTCTTATTGTGCATGCTCGGGCCACCAATGAAAAATGCAGGACGCCACCTCATGCCGACCTGGGCACGATCGCGGCTCTGGCGGACACTGACCTCAGCCTGTCGGAGCTCTCTGATGCTGCCGACGCCGAGCTGAGTTGCGAAGAGGAGGCTGAGCTCTTGAAGGGACAGGGGGGCCTGTTCGCCCGTCCTTTCTCTGGGAGCTCCCTGGATGTGCGACAACTGGCGCATGGCCAGCTGGTTCGGGATGGACGACCCCGACGAGGCCAGCGTCTAGGGGATCACCGAGGTCTGGGGCGATGACCTTGAGAAGATGGTGCCAGCGTTGCCTACAGATGTTGTGTGCCCGTGCTTTAGAGCGCTCAGCATGGGGTTTACCTGGGCACTACACCTCTGCAACTCAGCTGTCGAGCACTTTGTTGCCGCGGGGGTCCCTGGAGGCCTCGCCCGAGCTGCCCGGGAGAAACACCGAGTACCTCGGGTGTCGTTCGTGAGCCCGATTAACTCGACCTACGTGGACAATGCCGCGCCGGTGAGTGCCAATACCGAGACTTCAGACTTGCGCCATGTTTTGCAACAATTTTCTGACCGAGGGATGCTACGCACGACGTGGTTGAGCAGACCCCCTACCTTGAACACTTTGGTGCTGTCTTTGATGGGCGGCGCCGTCCACTGTATCACCAGCCCCGTCGAGTTTGGCGGGTCTATCTGGCTGGCAAGGAGCTCCTGCGGCGTCGTCGGCTTCGAGGCGAAGTGCTGCGGATCTGGGTCGGCCACGTGGCACTTCCGCCACCTCCGCCTGCTCCCTGCGCGGCTGCCAGTGCCCCTGCTCCTACCAGCTCCTCGACCTCAAGGGCTTCCCCTACGAGTACCTCCACGAGAGCCACTACGGGGCCCTCTTCTGCGGGCGCTACAAGGGCTGCTACGACCGGGCCCTCTACTTCGTTTTCGGCACCCTGTGGGACTTCAAGTGGGCCTCCTACTGGGACCTCAAGGACTCATCCTAGCACGTCGGCCCCTTCGGGCTCTCCTTTGGGAAATCGGCGCAGCAAAGGCTATGACCTTAGTCGTGCTCTGCGGATAAGACGTGGTGCTATTTTTCTTAAGCTGTTTGCAGGCCAAGAAGGGCTCACTCGAGCCGTGGCCTCAGTTGGTGTTCTGTGTGGGGAGGGCCTCGATCTCCAAGGGCCCCGAGTACGACCTCCTCGACCCTGGTGTCAGGCAGTACTTAGTCAAGCTCCTCCAAAGTGGCCAGATCCTGTGCGTCTGGTTGGGCACCCCATGCAGTGCGTTCAGTATCGCTAGGCGTGGGATTCGAAACGTTGAAGTTGCTCGCGAAAAGGACCTCTTGGGCGCCCAGCATGCATGGTTCTCGGCCGAAGTTATCAGAGAGTGTCTGAAGTCAAACGTCGCCTTTGTTCTAGAGAACGCTCTCACATCTCGTCTCTGGGGCTTTGCGCCGATCATGGAAGCTTTAGCTGACGGAGGTGTCTCAGTGATTGAATTGCACGCTTGTGGTTTCGAAGGCACTATCAAAAAACCCACTCGTCTCATTGGCACTCTCCCGGGGATGGAGCAGCTGTCCAGGAAGTGCCCGAATAACCACGTCCATACCGTTGTCGCAGGCAAGTTACGTTTGTGGGATGCAGACAGGCATGTTGTTCGATGGAAGCAGGCGTCCCGACATGCAGGGGTCTATGGCTCAAAGTTCTGCTTCAATGTAGCTCGACTCGTTCGCGCCCACGCGCGACGGCATCACGTTCTTCCAGCATTCGGAGATGTCACGTCTCGACATGTCGCTGTGTCGGCCAGCCTCCAGCAGGCGACCTCACCCGAGCTCCGACGTCGTCAACGAAGGGGCTTTGACGAGGGGAAGTCGGCCCCTCAAGTTGGCGAGGACCTCGACCTCGTCCCAGGCCGGCTCACCGCTTACGTCGGCCAGCAGTGGCGGGCCACTGCTCGCGCCCAGGCAGCGACCCGAAGGCAGGCGACAGCGACTCGCCCGCCCCCCAGCTGTTCGACACGGGCCCGCTCCGCAGCCCCGCAACCTGGTGGAGTGCAGCGTCGCGCCCGGCACCCTGCGCACCTACAAGGCCGAGGTCGCGGAGTTCAGAGCCTGGGCAGCTGGCAGGGGCCTCGGCCTCCGGACGCCAGAGTCGGCCGACTCTGCGATGTCGGACTATTTCGACTGGCTGTTCGCTCAACGGGGGCAGCCTCAGCTGGGCAGGTGGACCCTGTACGGCTACGCGCTACTGCACCTCTCACACCTCGGCCGAGGCGGCCATGTGCTACCTAGAGCCAAGGCAGCGTTGAGGGGCTGGGTACGGCAGATGCCAGGTCGCATCCGTGACCCTTGTCCGATCGAAGCCGCCTGGCTGATCGCTCAGTGGATGCTGCTCAAGAATCAGGCTTTCTACTTCTGGTGTTCGCTAGCGGTGGTAATGCAAGTGGATACCTATGTGCGTCCAGGCGCTTTGCTGGACATCAAGAAAGAGGACCTGGTGCCACCGCTTCTGCAGCGGGGCTCACGCCATGTGGATGAGGGCCTGGCGCTGGCCCCTAGCGCAAGAACTGGCAAAACGAAGTCGGGCGAGCAAGACGACGCTTTGATCATTGGCATCCTGGACAGTGCCTTCGTTAAAGATATGGTCGCTTTCTTGCATAGCTCCGCTCGCGGAGGTGAGCGTATCTTCAGACACCTCACTCTGCCGTCTTACGAGAAAGCCGTCAAAGACGCATGTGAGGCGCTGGAGTTGCAGAGCCTAAGGATAGCGCCGCACTGTTTTCGCCACACTGGGCCCTCTACAGACGCCTACCTCGAGGCCCTTAGCCTCCAGCAGATCCAAGATCGTGGGAAATGGAAGTGCCCTGCCTCAGTCAGACGTTATGAAAAACACGCCACGCTCCTTAGACAGCTGCACAAAATGACAGCGCGCCAGAGGCGAGAGGTAATTGCTGCTGGCTTCAAGCTGCCAGACCTGCTCAAGAGTGCTTTTCGCCAGTATCGTTGATTTTCTCCAACCTACATCCCCACCACCGCCCTGGACATCATATGGGTATGGCAGTCTTTTCATATGTCAGATTTGCGCGTGCCATCGCACGTGGAACGCTTCGTGACAACTACCTTCGCATGTGGCTGGAGCTATTCTTCATCTTGTCTCAAAAAACGCTCCGCGAGATAGTGAATCGGCTTTGCCAACCCGCCGCTTCCTTGAAGGCCGCTCTGAGAGACAGTGCGAACGTGAGTTAGTACGCGTTTTCCACAGGAGGGTAGGCCTTCGGACAAACGGGGCCCCTGACTGGTCGCGTCCGCAGCCACCCGTTTCTGCTCGCCTCCCTATCCCCGCCTGCCACCCTGGGGGCCGAGCTTCTCCTCTCATGAATGAGGGGAGTCTTTTCAGATGTCAGATTTGCGCGTGCCATCGCACGTGAAGCGCTTCGTGACAACTACCTTCGCATGTGGCCGGAACTATTCTTCATCTTGTCTGAAAACGCTCAGCGAGATAGTGAATCGGCTGTGCCAACCTGCCGCTGCCTTGAAGGCCGCTCTGAGAGACAGTGCGAATAATAATAAGACGAGGGGGAAACAATACTCACGAAACATAATACGAGTAAAAGTAATACGAAGAAGACGAAACATAATAAAAAGAAGAAGAGGAGGAGGACGGAGGAGGATGAGGAGGAGGAGGAGGATCAGGAGAAGGAGGAACAGGAGGAGGAGGAGGAGGGACAGGAGAAGGAGGAGGACCAGGGCAAACCCAAACACCATTGACAATATTGCAATACACCCTCCCTCCACGAAAGAAGGAGGAGGGGAGGATGCCGACAATTGAGGTGAAGGGGGAGGAGGAGGGGGAGGAGGAGGGGGAGGAGGAGGACGGCGCGGGAGCGGAGAGCACATCCCCCCCCCCCGCTCAGTCGGCGCCGGCCTGCTGGGGGGGCGCCGCCCCGCGTCTGGCGCGCGGGCGCAGGCGGCCGCTGCCGCGGCGGCCTTCGCCGCGGCGCCAGGGGCGGCGGCCCGCGGGCTCGGCGAAGCGAGGAGTCCCCCCCCCCGGGGGGAGGGCAAGAGGAAGAAGAAGAAGAAGAAGAAGAAGCATAATGATAATAATAATCATAAAAATAATAATAATAAGAAGAAGAATATAAGAAGAAGGAGGAGGATCATCATCATCATCATCATCATCATCATCATCATCATCATCATCATCATCATCATCATCATCATCATCATCATCATCATTAACATCATCAATATCATCAACATCATCATCATCATGATAGCAGAGGAGGATAATCGAATAATATAAATACGGAGAAGACGAATAATAGGAAGCATAAGCAGGGCTGCAATCGAAGAAGAACGGACGGCATGAACATAAGCGTTTGGCGCTCCGCGCGGATTTCTTGGATCTGATCTGGATTAGAAACGAATGATAGTAATAACATCAAGAACAATAACAATAATGAGCATACGAACACGATTAATAATAATGACGAAGAGGAATTATAACCATCATGATATCAGAGGAGGAGAATCGAATTAGAAGAAGGAGGAGGAGGAAGAGGATAATCACCATAATGCAGTCAGCCCGCATGGTAAGGATGGGCAACCTTCCCAAGGGTACCCCTTGCATCCTTGCCTCCTCGGCCCATCCTTTGCCGCTTTTGTTGGCCGCGCCCCGCTCGAAAAGCTTCGAAATGGGCGTCCAAGGCCTTTGCATCCTTATCGCGCACCCTTACTATACGGGCTGACTTTATCAGAGGAGGATAATCGAAGAAGAAAAAAAAACATAAGCATAAACTTGTGGCGCTCCGCGCGGATTTCTTGGATCTGCGCTGGGCCCCCCTGGCGGCGCCTGCAGCGCCTCCCCTGGCGCGCTCCGCGCGCCAGGGAGGGGTGATCAGCGCAGATCCGAGAAATCCGCGGGGAGTGCCAAAAGCTTATGTTTATGCAATTGCTTGTGCTTCGTGGTCTTCTCTTTCCTCTGCTATCGTCATCATGGCATCAGAGGAGGAGAAGGTGCAGGTATCGCCACCGCTCCCTCGTTTTCGCCTTTGCGGGCCTCCTGGGAAGCCCTGTTCGCCACGGCTGGATTCGACACAAAATGCTGGTCAGGGCGCACCCAGGCTTGTCCCTCTACGGGAGGATTATGTCAAGATCGTGTGAACATAGTCTGGGAGCGATTCTGGGATTTGTTTTGACGATGTTTGATTCTTCTTTTGGCAATTCTTCATTTGTCCTTGAACATCCGCCTGTGGGAGGACATGCCTGACCTAAACCCAGACTGGCTTCCACAGAAGCAGAGGGGCAACGTTTGAGGCGGGCGTGTCCTTAGGAGGGTGACGGAAGAGGAGGAGGAGGAGGAGGAGGAGGAGGAGGAGGAGGAGGAGGAGGAGGAGGAGGAGGGGGAGGAGGAGGAGGGGGAGGGGGGGGGGGGGGGCGCCTCGACCCGCAGCCGCCGCCGGGAGCGCCGAAGGGGGGCCCGGCGGCTCGCCCCGCCCAGGACGTCCAGTCTCGCTGGCGCTACGCCGGGCCTGTCTCGGGGCGGACGAAAGGGGGGGATTAAGGAATTGGCCGTTTTCGGTTCGCGAGAGGGCGCCGCGGCCGTCATTTTTGCGGGTCCAGGTCCGTCGGTTTCGGTCCCAGGCCGTTTTCATGAAGGGGAGGTCTACTAAAGGGAGGTTTGTCCACCGCCGGTCGTCGCCGTGAAGCAGCCGCGCACAGATCGGGCCGAACAAGAGGGGGATTGGGAAAGGGGGGGTTACGAAATCTGCTGCATGCAGCTGGTTTCGGCCCCACCGAGGGGCCCATTCCTGGATACATGGGCGCCTCTGGCGCCGGGAGGCGCCGGGAAAATCAGCTACGCGAGCTGATTCTCAACCTCCCCCTTTGCTGCCCCCCCCTTTCGCCCAGCCCGACTGTCCCCACTACAGGAGGAATCCTCCAACAGGGTCCAACAAAAGCGAGGAGGGGAAGAAACACACAGACACAATTAATCGTCGATTCCCCAGAAAATATACGAAAATATGGGGGATCTTCTTATTTGTTTGTATTTATTTGTGTGTCCTTGGGCCCCTTCAATTACGTCGGGCCTGTCCCCCCCACAGAAGGAATCCTCAAACAGGGTCCAACAATAGCCTGGGCACGACTTTTCGACTATCTTCGAATCTGTTTCGAATAGTTTTTGACTATTTTTTTAGGGTTTCTCTACAGGAGTTTTCGAACATGTTTCGAATCTGTTTTCGAATAGTTGTTGGTCCCCCTATAGGAGGAATCCTCAAACAGGGTCCAACAATAGTCAGGAGGGAAAGAAACACAGACACAATTCATCGTCGATTCCCAGGAAAATATGCGAAACTATGGGAAGTGGGGGGGAAGACAAAAGCCCAGAAAGCGTGGGGAAAAGATGGGGAATCCTGTTATTTGTTTGTGTTTATTTGTGTGTCCCAGGGCCCCTTCAAATAGTCTGGGCAAGACTATTCGACTATCTTCGAATCTGTTTCGAATAGTTTTTTACCTTTTTTATGGTTCCTCCAAAATCCACCCGTAGGCAGGCATGCCCGACCTAACGCTGGCAGGGGTACATCGTCGATCTATCGCCGATGTATCGTCGACTCCAGGTTGATGAATCCCTGTTTCCCCCCCTGGGCGGGTCCCCCCCTCAAGGGCAGGTGGAGGGGGATCGATGGTCGATGGCTGGGGATCGACCAACATCAATTCCTAATCATGTCCGGCAGGATGCGTTGTTTGAGTCGCTGCGGGGAGCGACCGCGTCTGACAAGAAATACACCCATTTCTGTGGGCCCTCTTGGGAGCCTCTTGGGCCGTCTTGGCTGGTCTGGGGGGCCCCGTGGTTTCAGAAACCCGAGATGACAGAGACGCGAACATCCTTCACCGACTCCAGTGAAATCAATGATTTGCGCATCTTGAGGTCCTCTTTGGTGTCCTCGTGGGGCATTCTTGGTGCGTTGACGAGCTCGTCCCCGACCCCGCCCGCTTAAATGCCATGTTGGACCCAGGACAGGGGGGAAGGGGGAGGGGGACAGCCAACTGTCTCACTCGCATTTTCAACCCCGGCAAACTGGGGTCGGCGGATTCCAGTAATGAGGACGGCGGTCTTACACTGTGTCTGGGTGTGTATCCGAAGCGGGGTTCCGTGGTGCGGGTAACCTGCTCGCCACCCGCGACCCATTCGCGACATTGGCGCTCAAGATGGTGCTCAAGATGGTCCTGTGTAGTCCGCTCAGTGGTGCCCATTTGCAACATTGGACCCACCTATATGGCGCTCAAGATGGTCCTGTAGTGGGCCAGCCTCGCTCACCTTGCAACGCATCGGCGTGCTCGATCGTGATCGGCCAATGTCGCCAGGACGGCTCGAGGCGGGGACCCCGCGGCGCGTCCGGCCCACTCCCAGCTGCCGGCTTGCGGCGCCCCGCCAGGAAGCCCCGCACCGCCCGCAGCGCGTCGGCCGCCGCCAGCTCCGCGCAGCGCGGCGGCTGCAGCGGGGGCGCCGCCCTGGCGGCCTCCGCGACGCTGACCGCGGGGGGCGCGGCGTCGGGCCGACGGCGCAGGCGGACGCGCGGCAGCGGCGGGCGCAGACGCGGCGGCGGCGGCAGCGGCGCGGCGACGGCGGTGGCGCGACGGCGGCGGCGTCGTCGTCGCCGCCGCCGCCGCTGCCGCCTCTATTGCGGCAGCAGGCGCGCCCCAGCCTGGCGGCGGGGCGCCGCGGCAGGCAGCGGCGAGGCACCTGGCGGCTCCGAGCAGGAGCGCGGCGGCATGCGGAGGGGCAGGGTCGGGGTTTGCCAGAGTTCTTGGCATCGCTCGGACGTGTGCATTTTTCCTTCGGCGAGGACCATCGAGGAGCATCCTCGATCATTTGGCGAAAAAACCACGCACGAAACCGACAAGAAAACACAGGAAATGGACGTCCGAGCGATGGCCAGAGTTGGCCCTGCCCTGGCCCTACATGGCCCCAGCCGCCCCTGCGAGGCACAGTCGGGCCGGGCTGGGACGAGAATCAGCAGTTCCAGCGCGTTCCGGCACGCTCTCGGAGCGATTTGCATCGCTCTGGAACGGCCGCGGCGCCAGACGCATCTTCCCAGAGCCGCCGGGTCTCAGAGGTCCGTTTTTGGGGGGGCACTGGTCAAATTGATTGTGTCCTGGTCCTGGCTCTTCGTCTTGCGCAAATGGCCTCCAGAACACGCCCCACGAGGCCCAGAGGGCCACACGGGGCTCCAGAGCGGCGCGAGCTGTGGCTTGGAGGGCCACCTCGGGCAACACCCGGCGCAGGAGTGGGGGTGGAAGGATCCCGTACCCCCCCCGACGTCATGATTTTTTGTTCAGGACGGCGGCCCCTGGAGGTCTCGACCCATTCCCCTGGGCAGGTTTTTCATCCTGAACCGTTGTTTGACGATCCCGAGGGCCGGGAAGGGCCCCCAGAGGCCGAAAATAACAAGCATTCCCCCCGTCCGATTTTTTTCATTAGCCGAGGGGGTCTGGGATCAAATTGCGCAGCGCAAATTTTCGGAGGTCCGTCCGGATATGTCGGGTCGGCCTGGGTCGGCGCCAGAGCCTCCTCTCGTGGCGCGTTGCGAGCGCCAGGGGGTCGCCGCCAGGAGGGAGCCAAGCGCCGATCCCGGAAGCCCGCGCGAACCTCCGAAGAACTGGGTCTATACAGCCTTCTTCAAGCTCCTCGAGACGAGCGCCATCCTCCTCCTCCTCCTCCTCCTCCTCCTCCTCCTCCTCCTCTTCCTCCTCCTCCTTCCCCCTCCTCCTCCTCCTCCTCCTCCTCCCCTCCCCTCCTGACCGTTCTCCCCTCCTCCTCCTTCCCTCCTCCTCCTCCTCCTCCTCCTCCTCCTCCTTCCTCCCCCCCTCCTCTCCGTTCTCCCCCTCCTCCTCCGTCCTCATCCTCCTCGTCCTCCGTCCTCCCTCCTCCTCCTCCTCCTCCTCCTCCTCCTCCTCCTCCTCCTCCTCCTCCTCCCTCCTTTTCTTCGAGGAGGGTTGATTGCAGCATCGTGGATGAGGACGGGCCCGCGCGGGCGGCACGGGCGGCACGGGCCCGCGCGCGCGCCCGCGGGAGCGGAGGCTCGGGAGACGCAGTGGTGCTCGACGGTTTTCGTCCAGCCGCCCAGCCCTCTCGCCGCCTCCTTCTCGTCCTCCTCGTCCTCCTTGTCCTCCTCCTCCTTCTCCTCGTCCTCCTCTTTCTCTTCGTACTACTCCTCCTCCTCCCTCCTCCTCCTCCTCCTCCTCCTCCTCCTCATTCTCCTCCTCCTCTTCTCCTCCTCCTCCCCACGTCACCATCCTCCTCCTCCTCCTCCTCGTCCACCTCCTCCTCCTCCTCGTCCTCCTCGTCCTCTTCGTCCTCCATTCTTTTTCCTTATAGATAACTCCTCCCTGTCGCACCCCGAAGCCAGTTTTTGGGCGGGCTGGCCGTTTTGCCTGAGGCGTCCTCACCATGTATCTTTCTGAAGTTGAGAAAGTGACAGTAGTTTCACAGATGGAGGGCGGGTGGTTTTCAACATGTGGCTCTCGCCCTAGCGCCGGTCAAACTTCGTTTGTTTAAATCTGCAAGAGTTTGACGGATCTATGGCGGGTGGTATTCAAAATGTGGTTCTCGCCTTAGCGCCGCGCACATTCGTTTTAAACACTTGCAAGCGCTTGACGGATTGAGGGCGGGTCATTTTCAAAAGGTGGTTCTCGCCTCAGCGCCGCGCACATTCTTTTTTAACATGTATTTCACGGATTGAGGGCGTTATTTTCCAACATGTGGCTCTCGCTTTAGCGCCGCGCACATTCGTTGTGTTATAACAAAAAGTGCAAGAGCGTCACGGATTTCCATGATCAGCGTACCAGAAGAAACGGCGTTTAGGAATGATTCAGGATTCTGCGGGCGCGACGGTAATGTTGATTCGGCGTGTTGAAGTCCCAAGCATGGCGTTCTGGCACGATTCTGGATCGTCAAGACGCAGCAGTCAGGTTGATATGTGGCGTTGAAATCTCGAGAACAAAGTTTTGGCACGCTTGAGGATCTTCAAACTGTTGTCTTCCAACGAGGCAGCTCCCTCAATGGAAATTAAGCGTTGTATGGGGCCGATGAAGAGGGAGCTTGGAGGGAGGGTTAATTCCAACATCGTTGATGACTCTTGGGTTTCCTCTGGTCCTCCTCGTCCTCCTCGTCCTCCTCGTTCTCCTCGTCCTCCTCCTCCTCATCCTCGTCCTCCTGCTCCTCCTCCTCTTCCTCCTCCTCCTCCTCCTCTTCCTCCTCCTCCTCCTGCTGGGTCGATGGTCCTGGACCTACGTCGGATTGAGTTGTTCAATCTTGTAGTGTTTGTGAGTTTCCGCCTCCAGGGGGGGGGGGCGTGTGTTCAGTGCGCGTGGCAGTCGAACATGGGCCCTTGACGAACGATTGCCCACTGCCTTTTCGGGCCTCCAGGGGCCTGCTGTGGAGGCCTCCATGTGGCCTCTGAGAGGATCTCCTGGGGACCTTCGGAGGCCTCCATGGGCCTCCAGAGACCACCAGAAGCAGGAGGAGGGCCAGGGAGGAGAGAAACACAGAGAGAGAGAGAGATAAAAAGAGAGAGGGAGAGAGAGAGAGAGAGAGAGAGAGAGAGAAACAAAACAACATCGTTTGGCGGAGCGCCAGCAGCGCCACTGGAGGAGGAGGAGGAGGAGGAGGAGGAGGAGGAGGAGGAGGAGGAGGAGGAGGAGGAGGAGGAGGAGGGGGAGGCGGAGGAGGAGGAGGACGAGGAGGAGGAGGACGAGGAGGAGGAGGACGAGGAGGAGGAGGACGAGGAGGACGACGACGACGAGGAGGGGGAGGAGGACGAGGACGAGGAGGAGGAGGAAGAGGAGGAGGAGGAGGACGAGGAGGAGGAGGAGGAGAAGGAGGAGGAGGAGGAAGAGGAGGAGCTGCAGCTGCAGCTTCAAGAGGGCTGGGCGGCTGGACGAGGCGGGTACCGTCGAGCACCACTGCGTCTCCTGAGCCTCCGCTCCCGCGGGCGCGCGCGTGGGCCCGTGCCGCCCGTGCCGCCGCAGATGCAGGCGGGAGCGGCCGGCGACAGACCGCTTCTAGGGTGCAGATCTTCGCCCGCCGCGCAGGGTCGCCTGCGCGGGCGTTGGCGCTTGGCTACGCCGCCCGCATAGGGTCGCGCGTGAGCTCCCCTTCCACGCGGCGTGGCGCGCGGGCGGCCCGTCGTGAGCTGCGGCACAAGGCAGCCCTGTCCCCGTGGGCAAGTCTCCGTTTTCTCCGCCGCTCACTCCCTCACAGCCGGCGGAGGTGTTTCTCTCCTCGCGTTCTACATGAGATTCGGCCGCAGGGGCAGCGTTTTCGGGCCTCGGGACCATCAAACATCGGCCCTGCCCCGCGGCCAAATCGTCGGATGTGACCGTCAACAATATTGGACGATGAGCGGGTCTTGCGGGAAGGCCCCAGGGTCTAGGACTTGTGCCCCTCTCCGTCGTCACGCCATTGCGATCCTTCGCCGGAGAAGCCTACCTTCGGTGCGCGTCGTTCGGGGTGTGCGTGGCGGCAGGGGGGGGGCGACGGGGGCAAGCCCAGTCGGGAGAGCCGCCGTGGTCGCACCGTGTGCAGCCATCGGCAAGCCGCGCACCAAAGGTTTTAGATATTGCCTTAGGGCCCGTCTGCGCCGTTGCTCACAAGATGCCCCCCCCAGCCAGCCCCACGGCCCAGTCGCGTTCTAGTCGAGTTCTTGTCGCGGCCAGTGCAAGGATAGAGGATGCCGCCGCACCCGTTGAGGCAGCATGCAAGGTGCCCTCGCCGCTCGGAGTTCGCCCCATGGCTCTGTGAAGGCCATGTCGCCGCGACCGCTGGCAGGTCAGCACAAGACAGGTACTGCTACTGCATTCGTGGTTTCCCGAGGTTTCCCTTCAAGTTGCTGCACGGTGTGCTGTTGGCAGACTTACGCGGTCTAACAACGGCACAACCGCGATATTATGCGATCTCATAAACGCATTGACAAGTCAACTCAAGCTTGTAATTCAGCTTGTTGTTTTCTGTGATGTTCCACTGAGCATGCTGTCTGGTCTGCTCTGAACGGTTTGTGCGTGCGCGGGACTGTCACGTACGCAAGATACATCATTGCCAGAGGAGAAGGGGGAGGAGTGTATTCAGCAACGTCCAGCCAGCCAAGTCCAGCGCCGCAGGGGCCACGACCGAGGCACCGACCGAAGGGCTACGAAGTCGATCGCAAGCCGAGTGCCGAAGAGATCAACAGGGACCAGAGGAGGAGGAGGAGGAGGAAAAAGGAGGAGGAGGAGGAGCAGCAGCAGCAGGGCGAGTAATACGAGAGGGGGATTGAGAGGGAGACGTGCCAGGAGGAGGGGGAGGGGGGAGAGGATGAGGAGGAGGAGGAGGAGGAGAACCAGTGTAAACCCAATACTCATCAACGAAGTTGGAAACACCGTGCCTGCAAGCTCCTTCTACACAGGCTCCTACAAGGGTCCATGTCCACTGAGGGTGAAAATGCCGAAGCGTGCCAAAACACCAGTTTCAGGACTTCAACGCCACGAGTTCACCTGACTGTTGCGTCTTGACGATCCTGATGCGCGCCCATTCCAGGGACTTCAGCACCGCGAAGCAATTCAACTTCTGCGCCCTAACAATTATTAAGCATCCAAGATACCATTTCCGGCACGTGGGCCATGAGAATATTCAAAACGTTTGTAAGTCTTTCAGACGACTTCGCTCGGCTCTAAGGCGAGAGCCATATTTGGAACACCAGCCGCCCTCAACCCGTGAAGCTCTTGCAGATCTTTGAAACGACTGCGCGCGGGGCGAAGGCGAGAGCCACATTTTGAAAACGCTTCGCCGTCCATCCGTGAATGTTTAAAACGACTGCGCGCGGCGCCGAGGCGAGAGCCACATTTGAAAAGCGGCCCGCCCTCCATCCGTGAAGCTCTTGAGATTTTTTTGGAACAGAACGAGTGTGCGCGGCGTTAGGGCGAGGGTCACATTTTGAAAACCACCTGTCCTCCATTTCTGAAGCTCTTGCAAATGTTTGAGGCGAATGCGCGCGGCGCTAAGGCGAGAGCCACATTTTGAATACCACCCGCCCTCCATTTGTAAAGTTCTTCCGAATGTTTGATACGAAAGTGCGCGACGCTATGGCGAGAGCCACAGTTTGAAAACAACCCGCCCTCCGTCATTGAAACTGTTGTCAACTTTTCAAGCAACAGGATGATAAATGGTAAGGAAGTCTCAAACGGAACGCCCAGCCCGTCCTTTCGATTGGCTTCGGCGTGCGACAGGGAGGAGTTATCTTAAAGGAAAAGGAATGGAGGAGGAGGAGGAGGAGGAGGAGGAGGAGGAGGAGGAGGACGAGGAGGAGGAGGAAGAGGAGGAGGAGGAGGAGGAGAATTGGGTGGAGAGGAGGGAACCAGGGAAGGGGAAGCGGGAAACGCTCGTGCGTGGGTGTCTCTGCCCCCCCGTGCCCCTGATCCCCCCCCCCTCACCTCCCAAACGTCTGGCCGCCCGATTTGCTCTGCGACCTCCGCGCGGACTGGCGAGTCCACCTTTGCCCTGCCGGCCACGGCCCCGCGGCGGCTGGGGCGCGGCATCGATCTGGCGGGCGGCGTCTCCGCTTCGATCCTCCTCCTGGCGAGCGTCAGCGGCCTGACGCCCTCGTCGCGCCACCGTGGGCGTGCACAGAGCGAAGGATTGCAAAAAAACCGAAGGATTGCAAAAAAACCCTTCGTTTTGCAATCCTTCGTTTTTTTGCAATCCTTCGTTTTTTTGCAATCCTTCGTGCAATCCTTCGTTTTTTTGCAATCCTTCGGGGCGCGCATCGAGAGAGCACGTGCTCTTCGTCGGGGTACCCTGGGCTTCCTCGCTCCGCGCGCCGCGCGACAGCTTCCCGCCGCCGCCGAAGAAGCTGCTGCGTTCAGGGTGCTCCGGGCTTCTCCCCTCAGGTGCACCTCGCGCGCGGGTCCTCCGGGTTGGGCTTCCTGCGAGGGTTTCTTGCGGCCGCGCCCGCACTGTGCGCGACCTTCGCCCCCCCCCTTGCCGGCGAGGAGGGCGCCGGGGGGCCGGACGCCGGGGGCGGCGACGAGAACCCCGTGGTGAGGAGACCAGCCTCGGGGGGCCGCCGGCCGCCCCATCGTCTGGCGCGCAGACTCGCGCGCGTTCTGCTTCAAGCAACAGACGGTCGAGGTGTTTGGGTGCCTCTGTGACTGCCTTCTCGGGGCCGGCCTCCAAGGGCCCACGGCTTGGTCAGAGCGCGCCCCGCCAGAGCTCCGGGTCCAGGGCCTAAAGGTGGAGGCCCAAGTTGGGCCTCTATCTTGAAGCCCTGCACCCAGAGCTCTGGCGCTACGAAGATCTAGACCTAGAGCTCCTAGATGGAGTCCGAGTAGATGGGCTCGAAGGATCGCTCCGCATCGCCGATGCATCGGCGATGCGGCTCGATGTGGGGCCCGATTTGCTTCACGTCGGCGTCGCCGATGAATCGCCGACGACGACGATGTACTGCTGGTGCATCGCCAATACATCGCCGATGCATCGCCGACGTATCGGCGATGCGGCGGGATCATCCGACCCCACCTGCTCCGACCCCATCTAGAAGGCCTCTAGAAGAATTGTGGCGGTCAGGTCCTGCTGGATGTGGTCTTCGAGGGCCCGCTTCCCGCCCCAGAACCTTCCAAAATAGCATCTTCGCTTGGACCTTGGTTCCAGGGATATGGGGCGGAGAGGTCCAGAGGCCGCTGTCACGACACACTGCGACGTTCCATGTCTGGTTTCTTCAGACCCCCATCGTTCTTGGCACTTTGTGCAGTGGCGGCCCATGACAAGAAACACCCTACGTCTCGGCAGGGTTCCCTGGGATTCATTCGCTGGCGTTCGGCGCGGAAGGTCGCCGCAGTGTCGAAGGAACTGCAAATACCAGGGCGCCTTGGATTTCTATGGGACAGGGTCCATGGGCCTGGCGGGTCGCACCGCAGCGGCGTATCAGCGCGACGGAAGCCAGATGCTCCCCATGCCAGCTAGGTGCGATGCGATCTTCGGCCCCATTCGGCAGGCCACCACGGGTCGCGGAATATGTAGGCTCGTCTGTTCCGCTTATGGGTAGCAGCATTGCGCCATGCGTTTGCCAGGAGGTTTCGCCACAGTTTGCGGCAGGCACCTGGCAATGCGCAATATCCCAATTGCGCCAGAAGCTGCGCCAGAAGTTGCGCCAGGCACCGCGCAACCGTCAAAATGACTGTTCCATCATTACAGTGGAAGTCCATGCCAAGAAACACCTTGCTTGCTTCCAGGGTGCCTTGGGCTTCTGGGGTTTCGATGGTTCTGCTATGGAAAGCGTGACACTCCGACGCCAAAGATCAATGGACGTCCTGAGGTCTCATGGTTGCGTTTCTTGTGGAAGTTTTCTTGTGGTCGAGCTCCTACTGTAGTTGTGCCATTGCGCCGTGGGTTGTGATATAGGTTGCCCCACAGATGGCGCCAGCGACCTCGCCGTCCGCAAACAATCGCGCCATCGGTTTCTCGCCACCGGTTGCGCCTGGCCCATCGCAGAGCGCAGAACCTTATGTTCCGTCCTTGGTGGTACCACTGCGCCACAGGGTTGCGCCGCAGGTTGCGCCAGGCACCACACGCAAATTCGCAGTATCGTACGTTTCATGATGTGCCACCATGTCGCCAGCGGTTGCGCCAAAAGTTACGCTTGGCCCCACGCAAATTCGCAATACCGTATATTACATGATCTATGTCACCATTTCGACAGAGGCTGCGCCAAAGGTTACGCCGGGCACCCCGCAATCCGCAGAACCGTCGGTTCCCTGTTTGGCTATCAATGCAATTGCGCCGTACTTTGTGCCATGGGCTGCGCCAGGCACCCGTCAAGTCGCAAAATCGTGCGTTCCGTTATTAATTGCACTATCGCGCGCCACGGTTTGCGCCCCAGGTTGCGCCAGGCCCCCCGCAGTCCGCAAAAGTGTTTTCTTTAGTTTGATTCGCCATTGCGCCATAGGGTTCGGCATAGGTTGCGCTAGATAGCCCGCAATCCGCAGGGTGGTCTGTTCATTGTTGGTTTCACACTTGTGCCGAAATGTGCGCCGTAGGTTTTGCCAGGCACCCCACAGTGTGCAAACTCTTCTGTTCCATCATTGGTTGTATCACTTTTCCATATCTCCTGAGCGACTTGAATCGACAAGTTCTTATCCCATTGGGGCCAGAACTGATATGGTGGCTGATACACTTCCTTCCTTCCTTCTCTTTCCGCCCCCTTGCGACGTCATACTCGCCTGCATTAAGATACCAGCGACACTGTCACAGCTGCTGTTGCTTCCTCGTCGTGCGTCTGCGCATTCTTCTTTACGTTGACATATCTCATCCTGCGCTGAATGGCCTTGCTCGTTCCCCAGACCAGCTAGACCAGGCACAGCAACCGGAACATGTAGGGCAGCCGAACCAACCAGACCACACAGATTGCCACGCCAAAACGGAAAACCCAAGCAAGATGGACCAGGCCAACATCAAATTGGTAGGTCAAGGGTGCCATCAGCTCCAGCGGGCAACATGAACGTGACAAAGGGCCACGCCCCGCGACATGGCTCCAAGATAGTTCCAAGGACGCCCAATCGGCGCAGCATGACGCCGAGGGTGTCTCGAAGAAGCTTCCTTAGAAGCTTCAGAGATGGAGCGGGATGACGAGGATGGGCGGGGCAACGGGGAGCAAACGACAGGAGGAGAAGGATGAGGGCGCGAATGCTCGGTCTGGCAGACAGACCAAGCGCAGACAGGCCAAAGAGAGACCGACCGGCAGAGCGAACCTGCTGACCAGACGAGGCAGACCAACAGACCAGACAGAGAGACTCACGCACTAGAGCCTTCCAGATCAAACACACTAGTTATCCACATCCCGTGTATTGATATACTTTCGAGATTCGTAGGCCAGACCAGACTAGCCAGACCGAGCCATACCAATTGGTGTGCTTGTAGTCAGGCAAAGGAGACACGCCTGGCGGCACAGGGGAGAGGGGCAACAAAGACCAGGGGATACAAGAAAACCAGCAGAGTCACACTCGCCTTTTCTGCCACCCTTCTCTACGTGCCATTCCTGTTCCTCCTCTAGGAATGGCAAGGCTAGCTGGACTAGCCAGACCAGACAGAGCGCCAGACCAGGCATACTGACCTGAGCAGCCAGACCAGTAGCATCACGACCAAACTCGTGGGTCACACGCGGAGCGAAATCCAAAGCTTCAGCTCAATCAGCGAAGTTGCGTGGGGCGAGCGCAGAAACAACGCATGGCGAGAGGAACAACAAATAGTGAGTAGAGGGGAGAGGGAGATGAGAAGAAGGAGGATGAAGAGGTGGAGGAGGGCAACTCCATCCAGGAGGAGAGAGAGGAGCAGGGTAGTCCTCCCCCGCGTCGGTCCCTTTCTTTCTTCTCCGCGCCACTCCCGCCTCACGTGCCGACCGCTATGTTCAACTTGGGTAGCCAACCTGCAGCGACAACACCACATGCAATACACACACCACATGCTATAACACTATGCTGCAACGCAACGCTAAGTTCAAGCTTGAGCAGCCTAACAGCATCGCAACGAACTGAGCTGCAAATGACAATTGCACAGCACTGCAACCTCGCCAATGCACCTACGTCTGCAGCACAAGAAGAAGCCGCAACGCAACACAAAGGCGCCAGCGTGGGCCCCGACGAGGAAGCCATTGCGCGGTGGATGCGCAAGCCATGCGGTTCAAGCTACGTGGTGCAACGTCTGATGTGCAGTCGACGTGTTGTAAACTATGGGATGCTCGATGCGCGCTACAACGTATGTGGTGTAAGACAGTTGATGCACTTTACGCGGTGTAATACATGTGGTGCAGGTTCTGTGATGTGAGGTGTGACAAGCGATCTGCGTAGTGTGGCGTATGCGATGCAGCGTGATGCACGCTACGGTGCCACCTGGCGCACGAGGAGCGCACGCGGTGCCCACGTCGGGCACCTTGCGGAACCCCAGCTGACCCACCCAGCGCACGAGCCGTCCACTGGCCCACTAAGGGGCACCAGGCGAAACCTCGGCTGACCCACGCAGCACTCGAGGTGCCCTCGAGGCGCCCCTCGAGGCGCCCACGAGCGGGCAACAGGCGAAACCACAGCGGAGCCACCCGGCGCAGGAGGCGCCCACCAGGCGCCCACGGACACCCGCTGGCGTTGCGAACGCACGCGCGCACGAACACGTCTTCCCAAAATTGCGCTTGCATTCGGGCGCTCTTGCGTGTTGCGCAGGAGCTGGGCCTGTCGGTCGGTCTGGCGGCTACGTCTCCGCCCTCGCCGCCTCGTCGCCGCCCGTCGTCGGGGCCTGTCCGTCGGTCGCCGCGCTTGTTGCCGCCGTCGCCGCTCCACAATTCCTGCTCCACGTAGGTTCTCCTATCTTAAAAAGGAATGGACTCTACCCCCCCCGGGCGTTATCGGCCCCCGTTTCGGGTACGTAAAGCATATATGGTTGTGACCACATGTCCATCCTGAAAATGAATTTGCACTATCCCAGGGGGCCGGTATCGGTTCCCCTGAGGTTCTATCATAAAAACCGATACGCGGGGACATCTTTTGTTCTAACATAACATTTGTTCACGAATCCCTTGCAAGAAAAAAGGACGAAGTGCACACGCGCGCGTCGTCGCGCGCGCATGCCGAAATCCTCCAAAAACCGTCGGTGTCAGAAGGATTTCGAAATCGAGTTACCAAAACACATACAAAAACACAGGGTTTCGCAACACTGATTTGCTAAAAAAGCTTACGCGCGATCTCTTGTGAAATCGTAAGAAAACCATAGGCTGTTCAAGATTTTCACAAAATCCCACCAAACGGTCTTTGCGCGCGCGCATGTCGAAATCTGTCGAACGCCCTTGCGCGTGTGCCGTCGCGAGAATCCTCTGCAAAAAACGGGACGAAATGCAGACGCGCGCGTCGTCGCGCGCGTATGCCGAAATCCTTCAAAACCCATCGGCTTCGGAAGGATTTCAACATCGTGTGTCCCAAAAACCTACAAAAACACTCGGTTTCGCAACACGGATTTTCAACAAAAGCGTGCGCGCGCGCTTTTGCGTCGTCGTCGTCGCCGTCC